TTTTTTTAATTTTTTATTGTGGGTTGTTCAAAACATTACAAATTTCTTTTTTTTTTTTTTGGATGGGCATGAGTGCTTATTATTTTATTCTCTTATCTGCATATTTACAAATTAAAAAGAAAAGAAATAGCAGAATTTTGCAGAAATAATCACAATGAGTGTACTAATGCATCAGCATTTACCAGCTAATCATCAACTTTAGGAACATAATTCATTGTAAGATCAACAATCTATGAATCTTCTAATTTCAATACACTATTTTGATACTTTCTTGTTCAGATTTTTAATTGAATGGGTTTCCATTTTTTAAGTGAAAATTAAATTATAAAACAGTATTTTAAGATAAAAATTTTAATAATACCACCTATTTACTCTAATGTACAACTGAGTACAGCCTTTTTCAAGTTGTATTTAATTCCATTATTCACTATTCTCTTATCTGAAAGAAACCTAAATGACCTGGTCTGTTTGTTTGTTTAATGGTGCCGAGGATCAAATCCTGGGCCTTGAGCATGCTTAGCTACTACGGAGCTAAATTGACAGTACCAAATGACATTGTTAAATACAAAAATTTTCAAATATATTATCATTTACAAGAGGATTCTTCTTTAAAAAGAATTCTCAGGTCAAACAAGGTAGCATGTTAAGACTGGGGCATACACAGGAAACAGAATTCCAAGTTCATTTGAACTTGGGATTCTTTTCTTGTAACATCTATACTTTCCTTTTAAGATTTGTGTGCTAGGGACAATACCTGAATTAATCTGTTCCATGTCCATTTCTGAATATTTGCCATTGCAGGTAATTCCATTTCTCAAAATGCCATAAAGAAATGAAACTTTTCATAGCACAAACACCATATTTAAAGTCCTCAAGTGTTGACTAGTATTTTTTACTTAATTATTAGTATTACTTTTTTTTAAACTTAGAAAATTCATTCAAAAGGTACTGGCAAAATCCCATAATACAACAATAAATATAATTTTAAGGGTGTCTCAATTATATTTTGCAAAAATGAAAGGAGCAAGAGGTTTTCTTGTACACAGAAAAAATGTTTAAAATTTTTTTAATCATATCCCTAAATCATTACAACTTCATTGACTGAAAAATTAAACACTAACTAGAAAATAGTACTAAGGAAGATTCTATTTTAGTTTTTTTTTCTTTAAGCCTGAAGTGGATTTTTCCATTTTTATCTACTGAAATTTGATTAAGAGAGTCCTAATCCAAATCACACCTGACAATTTATACACAGACACACGCATATTTTTAATATGTGTTTGTTTATGTATGATGTATCCCCTCAAAAGTAAACTATCAAAAAATTAGTGCAATGGATTCTAGTAAATTGAGACTTTACTTCATGTTATTTTGTAAGAGTAGCTATACATTGTTTTTTAATTTTTTTTTTTTTAGTTGTAAATGGATCTTTCATTTTATTTATTTATTTATTTGCGGGCTGAGGATCGAACCCAGGGCCTCACACAGGCCAGGCAAGTGCTCTACCACTGAGCCACAACTCCAGCCCCAAAAGTAGCTATACATTTTTGAAAAAATCCTACATCTTCCTCTGAAAGATATAATCTTTAAAGAGAAGACAGATTAAAATAAAATGTATTAACAATAATCTATTCATTTGAAGAAATTTCTACTGGAAAATTGCCTTATGTTGCCTGACTGAGTCAAGGCTGTATGAAATTCCAACATCAATAACTGACTGAATTTCAACAAGGAGAGCAGAAAAGATCAGGTAAAGAAGAATTTTGTTTATTGTAGGAAATATTTTCATGGCATTTGATAGAACTCAGAAGTATTTCTATGAAATGAGTTCAGATGTATGAAACTAAGTCAGCTAGGATGATATTCTTTTTTTTAATGAAAAAGAAATCAAACAACCAAAAGATGCATTTCTAACCACAAGAATGGGAAGTTACACTCCATGTATATATAATATGTCAAAATATACTCTACTGTCATGTATATCTAAGAATATAAAAAGAAAAAAAAAGGATACACTTCACATAATAAAATTTAAAAATGGGAGCCAAGGGACAAAATGAAAAAGATACCTAAACAATGAATTTAAGAAACTCTGATTTATCCATCTGACTTGTTGCTAATGGTCCTCTTTTGTCTTTCCATTTTTGTATACTTAAAACAGGTCTGATGATAATTGAAATAGCCTTGCAAGACTTATTAAAAGTAATTGTTGAAAGAATTTAAATACTTTATAAAATACTATTAACAAAAATAATTCTTACTTTTTTCTTGCTTCATTCAGTGAAAATGCCCTTTTAAATCAGTCTGTTTCTTAACACTGTTTCAAAGTCTTACTTTGTTAGCTTTCTTCTAAAGTGATACTCTTAGTTAATCACAATATTTCTGATTAAGAGACACAATTAATACTAGAACTGTTCCACCTGGGAAAAAAAAACAGATCTATAGCACAATTAGACCAGTTAAATCAAATTACGGATCATCCAATTGACATGTTTTGATAATCTAGGACTTTGCAAGTATCATTTTCAAATTATACTCTACTTCAGTGTGAGGTTTCTCATAGAAGTTGGAAAAATTTCATTTCTGTAAACACTTTCTGTGTTAGTTGTCTCTCTGAAAAGATTTTTTTATTTCCTTAAGAGAGCTGCTCCAGTGAAAATCATTTCTTATCTATGTATCAGGTCCAGACCCTCCCCCAAAAACTTAGTTTTTCTGTGAAAAGACAGAAATAGCCAAGTAATATGAAAGCTTCTGTAATCAAGATATTGTCTACTTATTATAAACATGTAATCACTCCCTATGGGGAAGCACTGATGAACTAAAAACGTTCTTAATTACTCATAGCTCGTCAGATGTGCTGTTCACCTTTGGTAATTCACATTCTTCGCTGGTTTGACAACTCTGGAGGATGTCTTTGTAGTGGTTCTTCAGATCCTCATACAAAGAAACAGTTTCTTGTGAGTGAGCCAAGGGCAACACCTTTTCATTCAATAATATCTGCACTTGAAATTCTTCCTGAGGAGTCTTGGCATTTTCACAATGGTAAAGCACAAATATTAGGTTGGAGGCATAAGGTACAATATGACCACTTCGGAACTTTCGATGAATTTGTTCCTTGTAATTATAAGCTGTTAGAGGCTCCTTGTCTTTGAAGTAGCCCATGAGAGAAAGTAGTGGAAGAAGGGTCTCTGCATGACCAAACTGAAGGACGATTGGAGAAGAAACTGGCTGAGACTTAGTATGCTCAAGATTCTGGGTTTGGTGTCTAGTACTTTGCTTCTCTTCAACTGCTTTGTCCAGGTGCTGAAAGATATCCTGAAAGAGGGTGCAGCTGGATCGACTATTAATGGTATATCCATATCCTCTTTTCCAATATTGTTTCAGATCATTTAGATATTCTAATACCTTTGCATCATCTATGTCAAAAACATCACACCAAGGAGATTTGACACCTCTAATTGCCAGGTCAAATGAACAGGTGAAAAAAGCTACCTGAATTAAATCTGCATTTAAATTGTTTACCGGCACTTGCAAAACAGCTGCAACTTTTTTTAAAATGCTCTGCATTTCTGGTCCAGTTTTGAAGGCTTCTACATGATAAAGAGCTGTAGCATTCCTTTCCACTTCAGTTAAGAACTTCTTACAATGATCAAAGAACCTCATTAGTTTGTCATTTATGCTTGGAGGTCCACACTCCATATCTGAGACGTCGGGCGGCGACAACCCAGGATGGTAGTGCTCCCACAGCCCCCGCAAGAAGGCGGCGCCGCTGTCCACGCAGCGGTGCTTGGAGCTGGTGATCAGTCGCAGGCGGCTGTAGTTCTCCCGGCTGAAGAGAGCTGGGAAGAGGGAGGCCAGTCGCAGCGCCAGCTGTCGCATGTCCTGCCGCCCTTTCTCCACCAACTGCCCATCCATCCAGTCCGCGTACCACAGCGGCCAGTCAGCCAGCGCGGCGCCCAGGCCGCGATCGCTGGCATTGCCCGGCCTATCATCCCCCGGCCCGCGGGCCTGCAGCATCCCGTGCAGCTGCCTCAGCTTGCGGATCTGCTTGGCCGTGGGGTAGCGGGTACCATGGCGGATGAGGGCCACCAGCTGCACCGGGGTGCAGCTCCCCTCCAGCAGCTCTGGGTCCCGCTGCGGCGCCTCGGGGTCCGACAGTAGTCCGGGGTTGACATCTTCGTAGCGAGTCTTGGTGCCGAAGTAGGGGCTGAGCGCCGAAGCCACCTGGTCCTTCGGCTCCTGGAGAGAGCAGCGCGCGAGCGACGAAAGCAGCGCCGCAGCCAGGGCCGCGGTGGGCGCTACGGAGGCCCTGAGGAGGCGGCAGGGACCACAAAGCCACAAATTTCTTGACATATCATATTCCACACTTTGATTCAAGTGGGTTATGAACTCCCACCTTCACCCCATACACAGATATAAGGGAGGTGACTCAAAACAGAGTAGGGAGGAAGAACATGAGAAGAAGATTATCACTAAACAGGGAAGAGAGGTGGGAGGGAATGGGAGGGAGAAGGGGAATTGCATGGAAGATGGAAGGAGACCCTCATCATTATACAAAATACATATATGATAGTGTGAGGGGGAAGGAAAAAAAAGAGAGAGAGAAATGTGTCACAGTAGATTGGGTAGAGAGAGGTGATGGGAGGGGAGGGGAAAGGAGGGGGGATAGGGAGGGCAGCAGAATACAACAGACACTAGTATTGCTGTATGTATATACGTGGCTATATAACCAATGTGATCCTGCAATCTGTACACATGGAAAAATGAGAATTCATACCCCATTGAATCAAATATATGATATGTCAAGATCATTGTATTGTCTCGAGCAATTAATAAAAAATAAAAATTAAAAAAGTCAGTTCTTTATAACTAGTGTTTTACTCTATTTTTCTACATGTCAGTATATTTTTAAAGTACATATACATAATTTTGCATAATTTACAAGATTGTGCTGCATAAAGATTGGCAGTATACTATTATAAATTTTATTCTTTGGATTTATTCTTGTTGACCCACTTTTAAAATCTTTTTAAGAAAATACTTGAAACATCTTGTTTAATTGTAATTTTGAAGAGAAAATATTTTTCAGTGAAAAATATTCTGGGAAAAGTTATATTCATAATTGACTATCAGGGACTATGATGTGGACAAGAGAAAAATGATTATCCCTGTTAGAGGATAATCTGCCATCGAAGACAAATGCACAACTGCATAACCCTGGTGCAGTCATAAACTCATTATAAAATATTTACAACCTGCTATACACACTAGCTGCTCCTCTAGGTATTGGGTATACCTCAGTGAACAAAAGAGATAAATATTCTTGCTTTTATGAAAGTTATATTCTAACAGTGTATTTCATTCAGCATATGAAATAAACTGGTAATTGATAACAAAAGGAAGGTTAAAAAAATTAAAGCTGCAGACTGTGGGTGTTTGAAGTCTACATGAGTGTGTTGGGGGAGGAGCTCTCCACTCCTTGAGAAAAGACCTGGTCAGTGAAGATGTCAAGGAAGTAGGAGAATTAGCTCTGTATCTGAGAAGAGTAGCAGGAATGTACCTGAGAACAAGACACCCAGGAGGCTAGTGTGGTTACAATGATGAAAGTGAAGACATGTTAGTCAGCAACTGCTCGTGTGGACATTTGGGGTTCTTGGCCAGGTCTTTGGATCTTATCCTGAGTAAAATGTGGTGTCTTTACAATGTTGTGAGCAAAGGAATGACATGGTCATTTGGCTGCCTTGAAAACAGAATCGGGCAGGAAAGAGTAAAAGCCAGTATGAGGTGAGATGGAAGTGTTTGCATGGCAGTTCTGCAGTTAACTGGCGAATGAACTTCCTAGGAAAGCTCCTAGGAAGGAAACATTCAAGGAGGAGTCTTGTCTTCTACTAAATATGGAAATGCCAGACCTCCTGGCAGGTAAATACTGTGGTTTGTACTGGGAGAAAGTACTTATTATGGAAAAAAAATGGACAGAATATACTTGTTTCTATAATTGCTTGGTAAGTAAGCCTGAAAAATATAGATCTGTTGGATCTAGTTCCATGTATTATATAATGTAATTATATAACTTTATGAGTAAAAATGGTGATATTCTATTATCTACATGTCTCTTACATTAAGGAGACCTTATACTTCCTTAGAAATCTCATCTGCTACTTGAAACACATACAATTTGATGAGATGAAAAAATGACATAGGAAGTCACCCTGGGCATCTTGGAATTATGCCTGATTCATCTATATATTATACTTATTTGCATCATTGGAATTATTACTAAGCTCAAAAGTGGATCAAATCTCTGATTCTTGGGAATCTCATGTGACAGTCCAATCCTGGGGTTTGTTGCCTCTAACAATAACTCAGGGAAGAGATAGGTGGCTCCTGTCAGGAAAATAGCAACAATGATGGTGAAAATTTTCAAATTATAAATAGTGTGTATAGTATTCTTAGTTGTAAACTGTAAAAAATTAGTGGATTCAAGAAAAACTTCAAATGTTTAATCTGAATGAATGATGTGGCTGTGTTCTAAAACAGATGATTCTGCAAATAGATTGTGGGGACTGGAGACAGCTTAGTTTTATAACTGCCAAATTTGACACACGTATTAGACATCAGTGTCTAATCTACTTAACATATCTACTCAACATAGTAGGCAAAACACAATTTTTGGTGTCAGGCACATGAAATATACAAAGCTGGAAGGAAATCTTGGATGGAAGTATATATCTGGGAAATTGAGATCATATTGAGGACCCTGGGTGAGAGATATAACCAAAGGTGTATAAACAGAAAAAATAAGTAGGCCAAAAACTAAGCCCTGAGGCATGACATTAAAAGTGTATAAAGAAGAGGAACTGACAAGAGAGACTATCAAGGAACAGCACACTTGGTAGGATGAAATGAATAGGATGTATTGAAAGCTGGGTGCAGGAGATGGCAATATTTCAGAAGCCATGGCAGATGTGGTGATTTTTGACAAGTGCAGGTTAGTGGAAGGTGAATCCTTCCTTCCATGATACATTTTCTTCAAACTGACACATGATTAAGTGACTGTGCATGGACTTGATTTAACACACACACACACACACACACACACACACACCCCTCTGTAGTATCTCAGCTTCAAGGAAACTTAAATATAAATTTAAGCATTCAACTGCGTCTAACCAAAGAGTCAAACTCCTTGGATTTATTTGTTCTAGCTTTTTTGATCGTTCATAAAACATTCCTGCTTTCTTTTCAGTGTTTTAGTATTTTAAGTTTCCAAAATTGGCTTGTTTTTATTTCATAAGGATTCATTTATCATCTAAAATCGCTCTCCTTAATTTTCACACTGATAACACAGTAAGTGACATAGATAGGGTACATATTAAAGAAAAATAAATGAGAAGAGAGATAATGAATAAAAACATCTTCTATGACAGTTCAATTCTATGCAGTTTTATTCATTTTCCTGGAATTGTGGTGCACAGGCCTCAGAATTTGGGCAAAGTCAGAGAACGTGTATTTCAAGGGCCATGCACATTAAATGAGAGCTGAGCAGGGATTCTCTGCAAAGCCATTAGCAATTTTCTCAAGCACAGTTGTTAAGAACCTTTTAGAATTAATGCTTTGCTGTTTGTGGCATTTAATATTGCCATCATCTGAATGTCTATTTCTCTTCAAAATTCTTTTGTTGAAATGTATGTTGAATTCTTATATTGAAACCTCTGTCTGCGGTGATGTAAGTCCTTTTAGGAGGTGATTAGGTAATTTGGTGAATCCCTCATAAAAGGGATTAGTGTCATTATTAAAAAAACTGAACAATATAATAGGTAAAGAAATTGACAATTAATACCCCCGTTTCCTGTTTTTTTCCCATAATTTTGTATAATTTATTCTAAGAAAATGTAAGTTAAAATTCCCTCAAAAATTATACTAATTATAACTTGAGAGATTAAGGCAATTGCAGAAGAGGTAAAATGAAAAGGAATGCTAATGAAAGGTAAGACAGGAATGAATGAACAGTATTTGGAATACAAGGAGCAATTTACAAAACAGCAGACATTTTAAAGAACAAAGAAATTAAGATTTTAAATAACATTTCAAAGGTAGCAACAATACTAACATTCTCTGTAATTTTTTGAAAATTTGTTTTGCATTAGCTTTCCATTACCCTCACATCACAACCTTTCTGAGTACCTCATAAGAGCCATAACTAAATGTCCAGCATTGTTATGTCCACCCAGGAAATATACCTAATTCTAAGACTTAGGGACTACCTAATGATTCATAATTATGTTAAATTGTTGCATGTATCAGTAAACTGGTAATTCAATGACATTACTATAGAAGGTATTTCTACTGCACTAATGTAAATGTTAAATGCATATTTCTACATATAGTTTAATAATTGTTAAACACAAGTATTTGTTTTCACACAAAAAATTTTCTTCCCAAAACACCCCATGCTCCCATCATGCCTGGTAGACATCCTCCTGTCCTAGCAAATGGAAAGTGAAAATAAAATCACTGGACTCAGTGTTACAAATGCCCTTTCCATCTTATGTGTACTTTTCAACTCATAGAAAATAAGAATAAACTCCATTTTTGGCAGCATTTTCCAAAATATAATCAGAGAGATGCTAGTAAACACTTAACTTTAAATTGGTTTTCTCAAAACTTTTGAGCACCGAAATTGAATATTTGTTCACACTGTAAATCTAGTCTTCGGTATCTTTTAAATGTCAATACTAAAAACTTAAATTGGCTGCTTCAGTCGGTAAATGCAGTTGACATATACTCAGCAACAGCTTATTTTTATTACTTGGAATAAGACACATTGCTGTTATTTTTAAATTTTTATAAAGGAAAAAAAATAATTTTGGTGGAGTTATTAGAATGATATAAATTGAGGCATGCCCCATGACTTTGCTTTTACAGTTAACAATACCCCAAAATGAGGCAAAGCACGTGAATCCTTCTGTCCAAGCCCTTTTATGCAAATGAAGCCAAGAAATATCTTCACTGTGTAGGCTCAGCCTAAATTCCATTGTTGAAAAGCTTGGGACAGCAGCTCTATCTATGGAGATCAATTTATGGAATCTCTCTTTTTTTTTTTCAACATCTCTTAAGATCATAAAAATGATCATAGTTTTGGTCTTGATATTTGCCTTTTATTTTAGGAAAATAAACAGAAGAAAACATACACATACATACACAAACATTCACCACATTGTTTATGAAAGAATGGGTAATGTCCATTATAGCACTGAAATTCACTGAATGAATATAATGCAGTCACCTTAAAAAATTGAAGAATTTCAAATGAATCAAAAAATAATTATAGTACTCTCATTGAAATATGTCAGCTCAGATTTTTATGTCAAATGTCCACATTTTCAAATTTATGTATGTATAAATTATAGCAAATATATGTTTGCATGTTTTTACCTTTTCATTTGTGTATTTTACTTTTCATTTGTGTATTTATATTTTTATATAATGGGAACATATGGAGATGATAAAATAGTTATTTTTACGAGAGAGAATGATACATATTTTCATCTTAATTTATCACATTTTCTATTTAAAATATTTTGTAATTTAAGTAAAGATAATTTTATATTATCCAACATCAGAATCTTATTATTTATCATCAGAATTGACATAAAAAGTAACTATATTTTGTGCTAGTTACCCATGTTCTTGAGTCAATCAGCACTGAATAGCTAATTTTAAATATTTTTGTCAATTCAGGATAACACCTATGATCTTCATTAAGTTTTTTTTAAAATATTTATTATTTAGGTGTTGCTGGTCACAACACAATGCCTTTATTTTTATGTGGTGCTGAGGATTGAATCCGGTTCCGCCCTTGCTAGGCTAATGCTCTACCGCTGAGCCACAATCCCAGCCCCTTAATTAAGGTTTTTATCACATGTTAAACTCCTATAAAAATTGTAATCTTTCAAGGGTTTTACATTCAACAACTTTATTTTCAAGTCAAAGTTTTAATGTATTTTTAGATATTTCTTATAAAATTATAATCTCTGTAAAACTCATTTTTGAGATTAGAAGGAAAAGGTAGATGATTGAGGACAACCAGCAAGTGATTTTAATTTGAGTTTTGGATAGGGATGAAAACATATTTGCATTTTTATACTTATGTCATTTTCAAAAGAAAACAATTTTGATTTTAGATAAATGGGATTTTCTTTTTAATTCTACTTGGAGTAAAACCAACTTGGAATTTTCACTTGATTTTTGAAATATCACCACATATTTTTTGAACCATTGGCAAATGTTTCCAGTTTATAAAGTCATTCCTATTGTATTGAGCTTTTGCTTCTCCTATATCTTTAGATAAATTGGAAAACAAGAGCAATACCCACTGTATTGAATATTTTTAATGGTATGGTTGAAATTTGTAATTTGAAATTCATAAATTCAAAGAACATTTATCTATAGCTTGATTTTACACTTGATGCTTCATAGCAATTTATAAAATATAGAAAGGAAAATCCTTCTTCCTATCATTCACAGCACTGTTCTTTATACTTAAGTAAAACATAGAAACTTAAGTATCAAATTCATATGCCCTCTAATTGTTGCCTTAGTCTTTTTGGTACCAGGAATTGAACTCAACCCAGGGGCGGCCACAGCCCATTTTTATATTTTATTTAGAGATAGGATCTCACTGAGTTACTTAGGGCCTTGCTAAGTTGTTGTGGCTGGCTTAGAACTTGAGATCCTCCTGTCTCAGCCTCCCAAATCACTGGGATTACAGGCATGTCCCACTGTGCCCAGCATTGCCTTAGTCTTTAAATTATACACCTAACTCTTGAAGAGAAGACCCATGGACCCCAAGTAACTTCAGCATTGGTAGGGCCAGTTCTTGGCAATCCCAATAGAAAGGATTTATGTGTGTTGCACAAAGTAGTAGGTGGAAGTTAATTAGAAACAGACTAGGGATACACAGGATAGGCCTTCTCATGAGAGAATAGGGTAGCTATTACAGACTCCAGGTTTTTTAAGGGATTTGGGTCCCTTTCATCTTACTTCAGTTTTTCATACTACATTAAGTGGTTTGTTACCCTTTGTAGAGACTTCAGAAAATCTTTGGGTCCTGATGGTTGAAAGGTGACTGTAACCAGTTTTTGGTGATGATCTGTCACAACAAAGAGAGTTATGAGGGCCTGATAATGAGATCTTGAAACAATACTTCCTGTAATGTATTATAATTGACTCTCTAAGGAGGTTGGAAATACCATTTTCCATTTTCCTAATGCTTGTCTGCTTTGACAAAATTTTCTGTTATCCCGAATCCTGTGATCTATGGACTGATTGTCTTTGATGTGTATGTCTACTCACGTGCTCATGACTGACCCCTAACACAACCAAGAATAGATCCTAATGCTTATACTCTCACACAAATATACCTTCCAAGCAAATTTTCAAGTAAATACAAATTACAAAATGAATAATTTCATGTTTATAACATTAATTTGAAAGATATCAATTTACTGAACCTCAACTGCAATGTCACGCTTGAGAGTGAAGATGTAGCAATATTAACTTACACTTAATTGGTATTTCTAATTTGATGTTACTAAAACAAAGAAAGAGTAATTCCAAAGAAAATATGTTTATGTAATTACAAATATTTTAAATATCTTTTTGCACTGCATTATTAACAAACAAAAAAGTCATTTTTTTACCAAAGTTTTTCCAGATATTAGTACCTTTGTGAAGATTGTAAGGCACAGCCCAATGGTTATGAGCACTATACAAGTTCAAAGTTTTTCCTTTAATGATCTATTGACTGGAATGAACTCCCAAATATAAAATCTTGGAGAAAGAAATGAGAAAACTGTACCATAATATGTGAAAACTGTTTAAAACATTTTAGATCAGCATCTGAATGAAAAGAATGTATATACTTAATGAGAATACAAACTATTGTGTAAAATAATTATAAAATACATTTATTTATATTAATTATAAGAGTATGTATTAGAAAACTTTATATACTCTGATATTTTAATGTGCTATTTGTTGTATATACTTACTTATTCTTGTATAATTTGTAGTTCTCCAAAGCTCTGTTGAGCTTCCACTTATTCTTGGACTCCAGTTTGAGCGATGATGACCATATCAGTGTGATAATTCCCTTCTCTTTGACTCTCTCTCTCTCATTGATTTCATGTGTATCTTATTCCATGCTATAATACAGTGAACTAATAATGCATTGAATTTGAAAAGAAATTAATTGAATTCAAATTTCTCTATATTACAGACCACAAATATTCTATATTCAGAATGAATTTGAAGAAACTTATCTGATAATATGAGAGGATAACCACTGATCCCACCAATGATTTGGTTAATATTAGATAATTTCTACTGTCAGATCATTAGGAAAGTGTATGGTTTGGTATTTATGATCTTACTTATTTTATGATGATCATTTAAACTAAACAATAACTATACTTAAGATTTGTGCTTGGTCATTAATTAAAATTTGATTCCTAAAGAGGTATGAAAGAACTCAACAAATGTTCTAAATTAATTACACTTATACCAGGTGATACATTTGGAGTGTTTCTTTCTTTCTTTTTTTTTTTTTAAATGCTGTCTGTTTATTTTGTTGCTTAAATCAAAACATTCCATGAATGATTGCCTTAAATAACTTCAACGGCCTCACTGATATATACTGAAGAAGAGGGAAAGCCCTACTACTCTCTGCCACAAAAATCATTTGATATAACTAATGACATGCAAACATAATTTGCAAAAGCAGACCATTATCACGATATGAAATAAAAAAGTTGACTGAGCAAATAGATTTGACATCTTTGAAATAGAAAATGTACCCTTATAATTATCCTGTGCCAAACCTGGGAAATCTTGGCGATATCTACAAGCCTTCTCAATTTATGATTGAAACAAAGGTCTAGAGAAGTTAAGTTCTCAGTTCAATGTCACTGAGCAAAGATTCTTCTACATATGTTATTTTAGAATAAATTGTCTACTTTCAATTTTTTTTAAAAAAATAGATACCACATACTTTTTGCTTATTCAGGATTTTCAAGTAAAAGAGTTACTCCTTAATTGTATCAATTACTATTTAATCAGTTGTTTTTCTGGTATGATGTTATAACTTTTTTTCCTTTGAATATTCACCCATTGCACTGAAAGGCTTAGCAAGGTGTGAAAATCACAGATTCACAAATGTGGCACTAAGGCATAATTCACAAAGAGATCACAATTTAAGAAAACTAAATATTCATGCCAAATCAGAATAGCCACCTTTGAGTGCCAAACATACATTTACATTTCACCATAAGTATTCCCAAAATGTCTCTTTTCTATCTTTGTTAAATCATGTTTACTCCCAAGATGCACTGGTTTCTTAATATTTAGCATTCACAGTACAACTGCAATTAGTTACATTCATATGGGTCACAATAGTTATTCTGTGTTCAAGACTCCCCAGAATCATGATTGACTAAAATGAGGTAGATGAACTTTTAAGAGTTTTCTTGGTTGGGACTAATTTCCTTTAGATCTTGAGCATTCTATTTGTTTTAAAATGGAATTCCAAAATATTTAGCAAAAGATTGAAAATGTCTAAGCTCTTTGCCTAAAAATGGAAAAATATAGTTTTAAAAGGTTATTATGAAAGTTGCTTTACCTCATTTCAATTTAAAAACAGAATAAAAGCATCAAATTACAAAACCACTACATATCTTAAAGTTGACAAATAACCCAACATCTTTGAACATTCAAAGAGACCCTTGCTCTAGTTCTGGCTTGGGAGTGTGTAGACTCAGAGGCATCTGGTTAGCTCATTCAGGGGCCAGACCAGCTGCTGCCCCTTAACCTTTGACCCTAAATTTTAAGTCTCCTCCAGAGTTCAGGACTGAAGGCTGGTTTCTTCATAGGAGCCTTTCACTGAGATCTCAATCAGACAGATCAGGTTTCAAACAGAGGCTGGAAGTGCAGGCCCATAAGGATAAAACAGGCTGCAGTGGACAAAGTTGGAAACAAGTGTTGAGCCCCATTCTTGAGCAGACTTAGACTATGAGGCGAGCCTAGATAGACCAACCAGGCCATAGCCCCATGGATCTTCAGGTTTCCGGGGGCAGACTGGGCACCAAACCAGCTAAAGGCCCCGGTGCGGGTCCACGAGAGACTTCTGAGAAAGCTGGCAGGCCACCACGGATCTTTGTCTTTTTACGCGGAGCCATGGGCGAGGCGCCCAAGAACTTGCTGAAAGAGCTCGACTTCTTCAAGCCACGGGCCAGGTCCTGGAGCATCAGATCGTCGGCCAGGACACCCAGAAACGCGCTGGTGGTGGAACTGAGGATCGTGGCGGCCACTTGCACTGGATGCCGGGTAGCAAGGCTACCACTTCCACCACTGGTAGCATCTGGCTCCGTCGCTCCTCGCAGGCCTGGGTCACCAAGCAGGCGTCGCACCGCATAAGAGGAGCCAGGACGCAGATACTGGTAGGCTCGACGTCCGCTGTGGTCACGGACGTGCACTTGAGCACCCAGACGCACCACCAACAGCACGGCGGCGTCCTCGTGGCCGTGCAGAGCGGCTAGGTGCAGCGGTGTGTAGCCGCCATGCGAGCGCGCGTTCACGTCGATTGGCGCGCCACCACGACGCGCGACCTCCACCAGCTGCAGCGCCATCTCACGGTCGCCGCTCTTGGCGGCCCAATGTAGGGCCGTGAAGCCAGATATAAAGTCGCGCTTGGCAGCTAGGCCGCGGTCCCGCAGTAGCAGCCCGTGAAGCTGGTGGGTCCAGCGGCCAGTGGCCGCCCGCACTAGCCACTCGTGCTCAGTAGGCTCCAGGGGCACGGCGGACGGCGGCGGCGCGGTGGGCATCTCCTCGGTGTCAGGGCTCAGCAGACGCGGGCCACTGCGCGACAGGCGCCTTAGGTGCGGGGAACGACCGGGTCCCAAGTGGAGGCCCAGGCCCGACTCCTCAACTGAGAGCCGCCTCAGGAGCAGCGGGGAGCTCCGAGGGCTGGGCTCCTCAGACAGCTGCCGGCGCAGGCCTTGCTCCTCTGCTCGGACCCGGAGCGTGGCGGGGCCCAGGACGCAGCGTACCGGCAGCATGCAGGGCTTCGGAGGCGGCGCGCGCGGAGCGGGTGGCGGCGGCCCTTTCGCGGCCCCGGGTTCCAGGTCTGGTGGCTCTGCGCCGGGAGAGGTTTCCTCCGACGGCGTGCTAACCGGCGAGGCCACCTCCGCGGAGGATCCCTCTGAGGACAGAGCTAGCTCAAAGGCTGGAACCCGGGGGTCCGCGGGATCCTCGGGGTGCTGGGCCGAGCCTAACAACGGCACCCCAGTGGGCTGGGTGGGTTCAGAGGCCGGATCCCCGGGGGTGTCCCGGAGCTCTGATGGCGGGGCCAGGTCCTCCGGTGATTCTATGGACGGCTGCGCCGAGGCCGAGTGCGCAGCTCCCGGGCCAGAGTTCTCCCCTAGCGAGACGGAAGTGGCCTTCGACGGAGGGGTTGGTGCCCCAGGGATGCAGGGGGCCAGGGGCTCTGGTCCCTCCGAGGGCCGAGGCTTCTTCCTCAGCACCACGAACTTGACGCCGTCCAGCTCCTTCACCACCGCCACGTCGTTGACGAATTGCTTGAAGCGGTCCCTGCGGGCTGCGCGGCCGCGCGGGTCGCCGGCATCCAGCAGCGGCTTGAAGCGGCTCAGCAGCTCCGAGTTGCGCACCTTCCCGCCGCGCTCCTGCAGGAAGCCCAGCACTGCCGCCTGGCTCACCCCGGCAGCGGCGGCCGCAGCGGCAGCGGCAGCGGCCAGCGCCATGGTCCGGCCCAGCCGCGGAGGGAAGGCGCGGCAGCCGCCTCCCCCGGGTCCCGGGTCCCCGCGGCGGGGCAGGTGGACGCCGCGGCGCTTCCCGGGACACGCGGGATCCGGGTTTCCGGGAGTGAAGTCCGCCGCGGCTGGCTCACCTGGTGATTGTCCCCGAAGAAGGAGCTCGGTCACGCCTGCGCCGTGGGGCCAGGATGTCTCCCGGCGGAGGGCACAGGGGGCCGCGGCGAGGGGCCCCCGCCAGCGCCCCGCCGGACCCCCAGCCTCAGGGCTGGATTTCTGTCTTTATGTTCTGTCCAATGGGCGCCGGGCTCCATGCCCCGTGCGCGGTGCTCGCCTTACAGGTGACAGCTGCCACTGGCACCGCGGAGGGAATGGGGGAGCGGAAATTGTCCACCTTCCCCCCCACCCCAAACCCAGAATTAAAGG